TTCTCCATCCAAAGAACACCCTTTAGTATTTTTTGTAAAGTTGGTTTGGTTTTTACAAATTCTTTTAATTTCTGTTTACCTGGAAATGACCAAAAATAACAACTATCTACTATCTCAAGAGAAGTCCTGGTAAAGCACTGTAGGATAAGCACTGGATTGCAAGGTTGGTTTGAATGGCAAGGTTGGCAGTTCAAACTCAACCAGCCACTCCTTAGAAACCTTATCCAGGGTCACCGTAAGTCAGAACTGACTTGACAGCACTTAACAAACAACACTATCTAGACAGTGATTCCCCTTCCTCTCCTACTCTTGACTTTTTATAAAAGTGAGACCCTATTGATACATTATTTTGTGGTTGACTAATCTTATTCATCATAATGTCCTACAGATTCATCCATGTTATAAGATGTTTTGTGGACTCCTCATTATTCTTTATAGTTGTGTAGTATTCCATTATATATGTGTTAACATTTGTTTGTCCAGGCATCCATTAATGAGCACTTAGGTTGTTTCTTATCGATGAACTCAGACATTTAGTATTCTGTTGTGAATAATGCTGTAATGAACATAAGTGTGCATATGTCTGTTTATATCATTGCTGTTTGATCTCTACAGGGTACACATAGGAATGGGTTGGTGGATCATAAAAATCTAAACCCACTCACTTCCACATAGTCAATTCTGACTCATAGTAACCCTCTATAGAGTTTTCAAGGCTGCAATTCTTTACAGAAGCAGAATGCCTCATCTTGTTCCTGCAAAGCAGTTGGTGGGTCTGAACTGCCACCAGGGCTCCTATAAGGTGGTTTGAATCATTGACCTTATTGTTAGCAGCCCAATGCATAATCCATGGCACCACCAGGGTCTTGAAGTCAGGTAAAAATATCACAAAATAGGAAAATTACAGATCAGTTTGTTGCATCAGTACAGACACAAAAATTCTCATACAGGTTCCATATCTCATACCATATACAAAAACTTGTTGAAAATGAATCATAGACCTAAATGTTAAATTTAAACCTATAAAGTACCTTGAACATAAGGTGTTTCTATTTCTAGCTTTTTGTGGAAGTACCACACTGTTTACCATAGTGATTGTGCCATTTTATAATCTTACCAGCAGTGGATAAGAGTTCCAATGTCCCCACAACTTCACCAACATATGTTGTTTTAAAATCAGTGCCACTTTTGCAGGGTGAGATGGTATCTCATTGTAGTTTTGATTTGCATCTCTCTGATGACTAATGATTGCAAGTATCTTTTCCTGTGTTTGTTAGTCTCTTGAATGTCCTCTTTGGTGAAGTATCTGTAGTGTTCTTTGCCCATTTTAAAAATTGGATTGTTTGCCTTTTCGTTATTACATTGTTGAAGCTTTCTATATATTTTAGAGATTAGATTCTTGTCACATAGGTTGTTGCAAGAGATTTTCCCCCCAATCTATAGCTTGTTTTTTTTTTTTTTTTGACTCTTTTTGGTAAAAGTGTTTTGATGAGTATAAGTATTTCGTTTTTAGGAGGTCCCAGCTATATAATTTGTCTTTTGTTTTTCATGTATTTATAGTTGTGTTTGTTTGACTATTTTTGCTAAAAATTCAGTTCCCTCATTTAATCTCTCTGTTTTCTTCTAGGCACTTTATATATAGCTTTAAATTTAACATTTAGGTCTGTGATCCATTTTCAGCTCTTAGATTTTATGATGATACCAACATTCCCTTTTGTGACTTCCCATTAAAGTCTTTTCTGCCTATACAATGTCTTGGTTTTTGTGTTCTGAATAGCAAACTGTCATGACCCTGATTCCACCATCTGTCTGGCAGGTTTTGTAGTGTGGTGGCTTGCATGTTTCTTGTGATGCTGGAAACTATGCTAGGGTTACCCATGGTGAACAGGTTGCAGCAGAGCTTCCAGACAAAGAGCCATGAGGAAAAAAGGCCTGAGGATCTACTTCTGAAAATAAGCCAATGAAAACCTTATGGCTCATGACAGGACAGTACCAGACTCACATCATTGTTGTTGTTGTTTTTAAGTACTGTGGAGTCGGTTCCAACTCATAGTGACCCTGCACAGAGTTAGGAGGGATGAATTGCAGAGCGCCGACATTACATGTGGTCAAGTAGAGGGCCAGTGAGAGCAATGAGACCCTTGGTGAGACAGATTGGAACAGTCATTGCAACAATGGATTTGAACGTGCTGGTGGCTATGAGGATGAGGCAAGACATGGCAATATTTTGTTCTGCTACATATAGGGTAAAGGCGCTCTGGGAGCGTAGTGGTTACGAATCGGACTACTAACCTTAGGGTCAGCAGTTCGAAACTATCAGCTGTTCCGCGGGAGAAAGATGAGGCTTTCTGCTCCCATAAAGATTTACAGCCTCGGAAACCCTGTACAGGGTCATTATGAGTCGGAACCGACTCCACGACACACAACCACCACCACTACCATACATAAGATAGAGTCCTTGTGTGGTGCTGTGGGTTAATGCGCTAGACTGCAAGCGGTTTGAACCATAATGTCAGCGGTTCAAGCTCACCAGCGGCTCTTTGGAAGTCCTATACACTTATCAACAACAACTTAACATACATAAGGTCACCACAGGTGGGACTCAGTGGCATCTAAGAACACCAACATGACCCTGATTGTGCCTCAAATAATTGTTTCATGAAATGGCACCATTGTCCTGAGATGTGTGGAAATGAAGGATTACCACATTTTAAAAGTAAGCTAATATATTGTTTCTACCAAACCACACTTTTAATCTAGTATTACATGGAAATCACACAGCATATTGAACCAAATGTTTGCAAAATTGCTACAGGCATTTCCTTTTAAGATGAGGTTTTCTAGTGATAAATACATTAGTTACAGTGTGGGTGTAAAAATGGAGCTGTCTGAACTCAGAAGGAAACCTATTTCTATAGAGTTTGTCAGGCTTTGTTTATTTTGTTTTGTTTTTGGTGGGAGTTGGAGGGGGCGGTGGTGTTGGTAGGACAAATAAGGGTAACAAGGTGGGTGGGTTGGTTCTTCTGCTATTAAAGTTGTGATGAGATAAAAAATGAACATCTGTGATATTGTTAGAGTAAACAAGCAAGATTTGGAGTTGGAAGTACTATTTTTGTATCTTAGTTGGGAAGATCAAATAAATCATGACATAATCCTTGTCTTCTGGGTCATTACAGATGCCAAACCCTGGAAATATCTTAAAGGCTTTACTATTCTTGTTTTTCAATCATAATATTCCAATGATTAATGCAAGTAATTGAAACTCTGCTTTTGTTGTAAGCATAATTCTAAGGTATAATGTTCTGAATAAAGTACTTGAATTACGGTTTGTGAGACCTAGTTATAGCTGATACCATATAAATATAAACCAGTGTAGTCTTAAAGTTTATGCTCAAGGTGGTGCTGTTCACCCATAAAGTTTGGAAGTTTTCATTATATGTTTATCTGTTCCAAAGCAAGCAAATAATTGAGTATATATTTGGGACCTTCTCTGCCTTTTGACACCCTAGACCTTCTTGTCTTTTTGAGCCCCCACCCAATATCATATTGTAGAAATGCATACTTATCCCATATTCACTACAGCTTATATGTGAGATCTTCAACTGGTTATATATTTTCAAGACATTTATTAAAACACTACTTTAGATTTTATAGCTTCCTTTTCATATTTTGGAATCAATTTGTTTCTAGCTCTCAAATACTTGAAAGACTTGTAGACTCAGATCCCTAATGGAATACAGGACCCAATATACAAGGTGGGCATCAAAAAGTTCCTGGGAAAATTCCATTATCTTTTAATTCAATTTTTCCACAAACTTTTTGATAGTATTTTCCAAACTTAGATCATGAGGATAAGTAAAAAAAAAATGTTACTACAAAATCATAGAAACTTTCATTGTTAAAAGTGTCAGTATGAAAGCTATTCTTTGTTGATTTACCTTTCATTTAGGTTTATACCGCCCAAAGCCAGTGTTTCCACCTCTCTAGCCCATCCTTGATGAATTCGGAGCTCTTCACTTTATACCATGTCAAAACAGCATTTTTTAATATTGTTAAGGCACTCAAATCATGTTCCTTTAAAATGTTCTTTGAGTTTTGGGAACAGAAAGAAGTCTGAAGTGGCAAGATCAGGCCTGTACAGTGTATGGGGCAAGGCTTCCCATCAAAATACTTGTAGGCTAGCCATTGCTATGCTCAAAGAAGGAGCAGGTGCATTGTTGTGATGGAAAAAAATTCCTCAGTGTCACTTTCCTGGCCTTTTTCTCACCAGTGCAGTTTTCAATATTCTTAAAACTTCTTTCTAATAAACCCCTGTGTTACCCTGTGTCCTTTGAGAACATCTGCCCTGATTATCCCTTTAGAATCCCCCTCAAACAGTTGCCTTAACCTTCTGAGCTCACCTCTGCCTTGGATTAAGTTGGCCCAGCAGATGCCCTCAGAAGCCACTGGCTTTTTATTGGACTTTTTTCCCCCAAAGTCAGCCAAACAAGACTAAGACTGAGAGAACTTGTCTGCAGCCATCCCCTGATCACAGACACGTGTGTAAATGTATATTATTTAGCATAAACCTGTACAGGTATGAACTGGAATCCTAGTAGCAGTATTTTTTGACTTATCATTGTACAAAGGAAACCATTCATGCTGATCTTCATTAGCCCACTGCTTATTAAGCTTTAGACATGTATTTTATAGGTGTGGTCCTTCCATGTTTGATGTGAATTTTGTTTTGTGTGTTTTTTAGATCCGGGGATTTTTGTCACGGTTTGATAATGTCCTTCCTGTCAGCCTGGCATTTGACAAATGTACAGCTTGTTCTTCCAAAGTAAGTCATTTTGCATGTGAGGAATTGGTTTGAAAAGTGAGGCCCTGAGCGTTTGACCACTGCCTGACCAGCCAGAAGCATTGAAATGGCCAGGGCTTTGTTGGGGAAGGGTTGGGATTCAAGACACCAGAAAGCATACTCTTGTTTGCATGGATCTGTATTCAGCCTCAAGAGAAACCAGACTGAGAACTTGGTGTGTCCCTCTCAAAGGCTATCATAGAACACTGTTTTAAGGGTTACTCAGACCATGGGCAATACTAGGCAGTTTTGGCTATGTGCTGTTAGTAGATCAACGTAATGACCAAAAGAAAAGTGAAGAGATTAGGGGCCTGGATGAGATGCCAATAAAAGGGCAATTTCAGCTTTGATCTCTCCAGGGCCTCTAGAAATAGAGTTGGTGTGCTGTCCATTGTAATGGGAACCCGCTGATGTACTTCAGGACTAAACTGTTGGCATCTTTTGTGTGTGTGTTTTTGGTTGTTTTTTGTTTTGTTTTTTTTCTTTTCAACGGGCTCTGAGTACTGTATTTTTTATGTTGTGCGTAAGGTCGCTATAAGTCAAAATTGACTCGCCGGCACCTAACAACAACACTGTATGTTATAGCTGATTTCCTTTTGGGTGCCTCTCTAAGCCTTCTAATACCCAGTGTGAGTTTCAACTTGAACTTTTGAAACTCATGATTCTTGGTAAGTAAAGATTTTCATGTTGAAACACTTTGCAAAGTTGTGTCAGCACTATTAATCCCAAACTATGGTCTCTTAGTTATCATTTGGGAACTACCTCTTGACAGTGTGAATGGGGCTGAATTCTTGGGAATTTCTCTCTGCTCTAGGCTGGCAAGTGTTCTTTGAAAAGTTTACTTGGTTATATTCTGTGAGAAGCACAGTCCTTACCAGTTTCTTCAAAAAGTTAACTGAGATTTGACAAACAATGTAGATAACTTAGGTTAATTTTAGACATTGAAAAGTTTAGCTTAATTTTTTTTTAGCCTGTTTTATCACTGCACATCCTAAGGGCCTCTGCTGACCACTGGTTAGCCTCCCCAGGAGCTCCTTGGTCCTCTGGTCTCCTTAATGTATATGTGTCTTCTCAAGTGAGAACCTTAAGGATGTCTGAGTGCGTTTCTGTCTCCAGAAATACGAGTGGTAGAATTATATGCTCTAATAGAGTGGATTTTATGTTTTCTTTGAATGACTGAGCTAATTGGATTCAGAATAACTTGGCTGTATTAATTTTCTTATTGAAGTTGTTTGGTACAGGTGCCAGAAGTTTTTCTCTGTCTTTATGTAGGTCTCCCTAGTCAATGAAATCAAGATAATTGGGGCCTCTAAGTGAAAGGCAAACACTCTTTTATTCCTTGTCTATTAATTAAATTAGCACTTGAGAGATACTGTTTATAGAAGAATACCAAGCATACAAGTTAACCAGGTCCCTTATATTCTTTAAAAGAGAATCGTTTTTTGCAATTTTCTTTCACACTTATTACAAGCATTAAATTAAATGCAGGTATCACTTTTTTGTTAACAAAATAATTTCCTTTGGTGGTCATTCTAAGAGTCCTGTTTTACATAAACATGCTGGAGGATTTAATAAAGACTGACTTGGATTTTAACAGCTGTGCTATTCCCATAGCGATCACTTTTCATGTGGTCTGGGTATTAAATTTCTTTTGTGCTGAAAAGGTTGCTTCATTGGTGCACGTATTTCCTTACAGTAGAAACACAGCATTTACTTACTTGGCTCACTTCTTTATTTGCTGAGGAGACTGTCATTCTCTATTATCTGCAAACCTAACATTAATACTTTGAAATGACAAATCCAATTAAATTTTCTTCTCTGTACATGCGAATTTTCCTTAATGCACACTTAGCACAATGTTTTTTATACTGAGTCATATCATAGTTGTCATTGTCTTAAAAAGATTCCTTGAGGCTAAAAATGACTTAAAAAAAATTCTCTTTTGACATTTATGACGTAATTTTTTCCTTTGGTAGCTTTCAATATTTTTCTTTTCTAGAATCAAGGCCATATTTGCATCTTGATTTAACCACAAATACAGACGGAAAGATTAAGAGGTAGAATAAATTTACTGAGTAATAATACACTCATTTATGACCTGACTTTTACTACATGTAGACCTTCCGTAGGGCCTGGGTTTTCTGCTTCTTTTGGTAGGGAAGGCAAAAATCACCTATATACAGCTATTACTTAGCCTGTTTTATCTTAAGTTGACATATAGCCAGATGAATGTTCCATCTTATAAAACAAATATTGAGGAATTGGGAGGGGACATAGCGGGGGTTGCTTTTATTCCTGTTTCTGCTTATTGTCTTGTAAACCTTTCGGAAATGACCTTATCTAAGTACGGGACTGCTAACTGCAAGGTCCAAACCCACCAGCCACTTCTTAGAAACCCCATACAAGGTTGCTATGAGTGAGAACCAACTCGACAGCCCTTAACAACAACAGTACCCACTAGACTTAAAAACTTCATCAGTTACATGCACTATTTTCTATTTCTAAAAGGGAATTTAGAACAACGGGCAGTGTTTCATTCTGCTGTGCATAAGGTCACTATGGGTCGGTACCAACTCTATGGGACCTAACAACAACAGAGTATTTGTAGAGTCCCTGGCTGGCACAAAAAAGTTAAGTACTCAACTACTAACTGAAGATTGGTGGTTTTAGTCCACCTCAGAAGGAAGCCCTGGTGATGTGTTGCTGACATTTTTCAGCCATGAAAACCATGTGGGGCAGGTCTGCTTTGCACACTTGGGATTGCTAGGAGTCAAACTGACTTGAAGGCAGTTTGGGGAGGGGGAAGGGAAAAAGATCTATGGAGTTGCTACCAAAAGGATCTCTGGTAGTACAATGGGTTAACATAAAGGTCAAGAATTAACACCTACCAGCCACTCCCTGGGAGACAGGTGAGGCAGTCTGCTTTGTCTAGAAGTGCAGCCTCAGCAGCCCTCTGGGGCAATTCTGTGTGGCCCCTGTGAGTTGGAATAGACGTGATTGCAGTGGGCGTTTTCAAAGTAGCTACCAGAGGAAATGCATAATTTTGTAACCAATATCCTGAAAGAATTTTTCAATACATTGGGTTAGTTTATTATTTTTATTTTTTCACTTTTGGATTAAAATTTAGGGCTACATTTCTATTTGATATAATTTCAAATATACAGAAAAACTTGCAAGAATATAGCAAGAAACTCCTATGTACCTCATACCCAGATCTACCCATTGCTTTCGTTTGGCCCTATTTGTGTATGTGCATATCCTCTCCTCTTCAGCCCCAACCTCACTCTCTGTGTCTATATGCACATACACACAGATATGCAGATACATATTAGCTTTGTTCTTAACCATTTATGAGTAATCTGGAGACACTGTGTGCCTTCATCCTCAATATTTCAGTATATGCTTCTGAAAAACAAAAAGCATTCTCGTACCTAAACATAATACGCTTATCTGGCCCAGACAGTTCTGTGCGGGTACAATACCACTATCGAATTCACAGTCCATAATTCAAATGTTGTTGTTTCTGCCAATAATAGTTCTTTATAGCTCTCCCCCACCCCCAGGAGTTCTGGTGTGGCGCTGTGAGTTAATGCGCCAGACTGCAAAGCAGTTTGAACTGCAAGGTCGGTGGTTCAAGCTCACCAGCTGCTCCTTGGAAATCCTACGCAGGGTCGCTATGGGTCGAAACCGACTCGACAGCACTTCACAACAACAACAACCCCAGATCAGGATCTAATTTAGGATCAAGTATTACACTTAGTTGCTGTATTTTTTTGGCTTCCCTCAAACTGGAAAAGTTTCTTTGCCTTTCTTAACCTCGACTCTTAGTAGTATACAGGCTGGTTAGATTGTAGAATTTCCCTTAGTTTGACTTTGGCTTGTGTTTCCTCATGATTGGATTCAGGATGTGAGTTTTTGGCAGGAGGATTAAAGAGATGTTGTGTTCTTGTATCAGGAGTACATAATATATTTTACTCTATTTGATGAGTATTTTCCTTTCCCTATCTGTAACAGGCACACGTTATCCTCCGTATATTCATGCGTTTGCTTATACTACTACAGAAAGTTAATTATTTGTGTATAGTTCTTTTTTCTAGTTAAAATTTAAATACATCAAAATACATAAACCTTAAGAGAACAATTTGATTATTTTTGACAAATATATACGCCCATGTAATTGGGTGATATAAACAGTTACGTACTCCATTGCTAACTGAAAAGTTGATAGTTTGAGCCCATTCAGATGTGCCTCTGAAGAAAGACCTAGCAGTGTTCTTCTGAAAAACATCAGCCTTTGAAAATCCTGTGGAATATAGAGTCTCCATGCATGCATCAGAATCAGCTCAATGGTGACTGGTATACACCTATATAACTTGCATTCCAATAAAATGTAGAACATTTTCATCAATCCAGAAAGTTCCCTTGCTCAACTTCAGTCAGTCCTGAGGGGATGGGGAGGGTAGGGGGTAATGTGGACTCTTGTGACTATTCTTTTTTCCTATAGTGCATGTAACTAGGCACCTTCTAGCATTTGATGCAGTAGTACTCTTGTTCTGGGGACCCAGAGGTCATCTAGAAAATTTTCTCAGAACTACCAAGGCAGGAGTAGGGCTGTGCTTAAAGACAACTGTGTGTGTAATGTTCTTTGTAATGATGCAGGAACAGACTGTTAGAAGAGGCAGGCTCCAGATTTAGTTTGCATGTCATCTGGGAGCTGCCTACTGCACAGATGTAGCAAGATGTGCACAGAAACTTGTTCTTGAAATTTTAATGAGTGATCAGCAACCCGAATAATATACTCATTCTGGTGTTTACTGTGGAATGGGAGTTTTAGTGGCAGTGCTGGTGAGTTATTGTTAAACTTCTTAAAGTAACTTGTTATATGCATCTGTGCATTTAAAGTGTTGAAGAGCAAAGATATCAGCTTGAGTACTAAGGTGCGACTGACCCAAACCATGGTGTTTTCAGTAACCTCATATGCA